AGTTACAGTCAGAGTACACTTCAGGTTAAAGAGAAAATGAAGAAATTAAGCTTGTGTAAGTGTTGTTTGCTGTCAGTAGTGATGGACTTGGAGTGAGCTTGGTTCAGTTTGACTGTCATGTGTGAGATGATGTTCTCGTTGATACTGGATATTGTAATTCCTTAGATAGGTATGTAGAGCAAGGTCTACCCCAACCATTAGTTCATCTGGCCTCCAGAATAGTCCCCATAAGACTGGGTACAGCTCACAGCTGAGAAAACAAGAGATGAGCAGCTCAACAGGATTGTAGAAATTTGAATACGCTTTTCTTAATCCCAGTCCAAGTTATAAAGGTTCTGTATACTTTAGACTGGGAGTCACTGGAGGACAGACACAAATCACAAAGAATCAATGTTCACTCCAAGATGCATATATATCTCAGAGTAGTTTTTCAAGACCCTCCAAATGTGCGTGGGAAAGTCACTCTTGGAACAGAAAAGTTTAGTGAGCAGAAACTTCTGGCAGAATCAAGAGGAGCTGAGTAGAAAAGGGAGGGAGGAGATGGGGCTTGGCTAGAACCTTGCTTAGAACTGATGTTAACATATTCTCTAAAAGTCATCTGGTTTTCATTTGAAAAGTGCAAATGGATAGAGAAGTTATAGAAAGATCCAAACAAGCACAGGGAGCAGATTTTCCAAAGCTATTTACTTAACATGGCTCTGTTGTTTTGCTATGTCAGGCTATGTGTCTAATGCCTGAAGCTTTAGGGCACTGTCCTAGTTAGCTTTAACTGTCATTCAGAGTCATCTCAGAAGGGAGTCTCAATTAAGGGGCTTCCCAGATCAGACTGGTCTATGGGTATGTCTGTGGGGAATTGTCTTGATTTTTAATTGATGTAGGAGGGCCCAAACCACAGTGGGCAGCACCATTTCCTGAGAAGATGACCCTAGGCTGTATAAAAAAAGCCAAGAACGTTCTGCCAGTAAGTCAGCTAGAAGCAGCATCCTCCATAGATCCTGCTGTGCTTCTTTGGCAGTGACTTCCCTGGTTAAAGGTAATGCTGCTGTGTGAAATAGCAAGCAAGGCGGCCTTCAGGTTCCTGCCTGAATTCCTGCTCTGACTTCCCTTAGTGATGTACTTTATCCTGTACGTTCAAGTAAACCTTTGCTTTCCCTAAATTGCTTCTGGTCAGACTGTTATGTCATAACAGAAAGTAGACTAGAATGGGCACCATGCTTACAAAATGTATCCAAAAGCAGCATGACATTGAACTATATGAAAGTTGGGAGCCTATACACGCAATTTATACCCCTCAGGCACTACTGTAAGAGTTTCCCATATGGAAGTGGCTAACACCACCTTTAAACATCAAGATATATCGGCTAAAGCCCCAAGACGCTGGTTTTGTGTTTTACTCTACATCGGAAGTGAGGGAACAATCTAGGTAACCTCACAACCTTGTGAACTCAGGGCTACAGAGAGGAACTGGTCATGAGGGCTTTTACATGTTAGGCGCTCATGAAAAGGTATGTGCTACTACATAATGGCATGGTATGAGTCATGCAGCAGCACCTGTTCAGGAACATTCTGAAGTCCTGATATGCTTGGTAGATCTCGTAAGAAAAGATGGAACATTACTGAATGGTAGTGTAAGCATGGCTATTTTGCAGTGATCATGGCTAAAACCACACTGGAAATTGAGTGTCTCAGGGAGGGACTCCAGATTCTTCTTTCCTAACACTCATATAATTTTGTTATCTTCATGTAGTCCAGATTATATACAGCCCCACACTCAATGATCAGTCAAAACAGCCAAGAGCAATACAAAAATAATTCTAAACTTTAGCTTGAGTCTTTTGGAAACTAAAAGAGAATTTAACTTAAATCTTCCACTACCATCACAGTTTGCCTTTTCTCTCTTAAGAACCTTTCCTCCATTATAAAACAAGTCGAAGCAACAGTCACAAAACATTCTTCAGATTTTATTGATTTTTCCTTTCCATTTCCCTTCCTCTCACTTTCCTTGAGCTATCTAAATGTAAATTAATTTAGCTTCTTTCATTAAGTCCTTCCCTTCATCCTTTGCACCTCAAGTGCATTTTCAGCCTACTTTCTAGCTCTGTGTTACTAAAGGAAACCCCTAGCAGGAAGGTGAATCATTTTGAGAGTGATAAGGGAGCCTTGCTGCCAATGATGGAGAATGCTTGAGAAGGAGAAGGCAGGACATCTATGTTTATGCAAGCATCTTCGTTTTTAGCTTTGGGAGTATGGGGAGTCATTGTGTCTGTGGCCATGGAGGGCAGGAGGAGGCCCTGACAAACTCAAGCCACTGAAGGGAAAGTAGCAAGTATCTGACTTCTGAGAACTCCTGAACCCAGGAAATGGAGGTGCTACAGTGACCCTGAAGGGGCCTTGACAAGGGGAGCATGAGCTGTACTGCTTTTCTTATTATTTAGGGGTTTCCAGTCCTTTAAACCCCTTCCTTTCAGGTTGCTATGGGTAGCATTTTGGCTAGCGGCAGGTTAGTAACAGACTGAATCAGTTAATATCCCCACATTTATAGAGAGAGCTGAGGTCAGAAGAAGCTTGCAGAAGTGAAGGCGTTCACCATGTCCTTTACTGCCCTTGGGGGTATCAGTACATGGGAAGGCACTGTAGGTTGTAAAAAAAGTGCAGACCTGTGCTTAATGTCTTTCATTCCATGTCCCACCCTCTCCTCCTTTTTTTCTCTTTCCCGTCTCCTCTCCTTTTCTTTACTCCTCCTTTGCCCTCTCTACACCTATCTGTAAATCATTCCTATCAACTAGCAGGAAAATGTGTATATACTCTATACATAAACCTAGATCGGCATCCCCAACATGTGTCTGAATTTTACCTTTGGGGATGAAATGGTGATCATTTGACACCTGTTGGTTGTGTCTGACAAATAGTTTTAGAGCCAATGAGAGGTGATATACTTAGAAGAGGTTCAAACTATGTGAAAGACTCACTATATACTTACTCTCACCCTAGAAACAGAAAGCTTTCTCCTCTCTCTTTCCCTCCCTCTCAGAAAGTCACACATTTCAGAAATAGCTGCTGAGAAGGAAGTGAAATTTTTTCACAAGCTCACAGACGATGGTGACGTGGGTTAAGCCAGGCTTTAGAAAGAGCAAAATTGGAAGCGCATATCTGACTTACAAATCAGCGGCAAAGAATGAGAAAATTTCAGGTCTATCAAAGAGATATTCAATTCCATTAAATTGGCCACTTTTTCCAGGTAGACAATCCCAGACTCAGCTCTGACTCTAATACATCTGCAACGCTTAAAAACTTGTCAGTGATCTTGTATATGCAGTATGCTTACAACCCTCAGGAAAATGAAAGCCCATGTTCCACCTCACATAACAGCAGCTGACTAGTCACCTGGACATATAGTATGGCCATATTTATCAATGATAATGAGATGGCGATTAAATGCTATCTATAGCCCTTTGAGATCTCTTTGTTCCCAATGTTAACATGGTACCTTCTCTTACTCTTAACAGCTGGATGAGGACCTTAGATCTTGAGCCATTCAATTCATTGCCTAAGGAGGAAATAATGGTATTGGACAAAATATGTAAAGAAAGTGCGAAGTCCTAGTAAGAAGATATCATGGTCAGAGGGAAGACTGTCTGACTCCAAGCTGAACCCCCAGAGAGAAACACACAAAGACATTCTGGTGCCCAAGTGGCAGAGAGAAGGCTGGCTGTGCTTCTGATGGGAAGCCCAGCATTTCTGAGTCACTGATGGCTGTAAATCAGAATTCTGCTTTTCATTTTTTTTCTTCATTCATATTCATATGACTCCTTTGAGTAGAAGCTGAATTAGTCTTTGGGGGCATTTAGTTTCTTTATTCTGGTAGAGAGTTTCACAACCATCTTTCAACTTGCAGGTGAAAAAAATTCCACCCTGGTTCTTGTTGGTGTTGGCCTGAACTCTGCATGTAACCAAATTCAGAGCTACAGACTTGGGTGCTACTTTGATTCCTAATGTCCAAGGTGGTTTTCATTGTGGAAAGATGAGGTCACAACGTGTATCAGTGTAACAGGGATGACTGCTTTCTTGGCTTTGGTAGACTGGGGAGTAGGGAGATGGAGACCAAGATTAGAGCCTAGGAATGAAACTGAGAAACACAGAGATGGGAATCAGGCATGGAAATATATTGTGACAGGTGGAGGCCAAGCAGAGAAGGTCAGGGCAACTCCCTGTTTAGAGGAGTACACAATGATTTCCTAAGGATAACTCTAGTTTATGCTTATCCTTTGCATTTCTCTTCCCTCTCTTAAACTCCCTTGTGCTAGTCTCAATCCTGTAAATCTTTCTGTAGCAGAAGATGCTGGAGTACTGGCTCTGGAAGATAAAGGAGGACTCTGCACCCTTGTTTCATGAGCAATGTGATTTGAAAAAAATAGAGACAGTTTGAGAAAAACTGTGCTATGGCCACAGTTGCCCAGGGAACATCTTTGTGAAAGATGAAAAGCAGCGACAACCAGCTGGGAAGATTTAGTGAGATGTGGGGTAAGAAGGAACATCAAACAGGAGAGTCCCTGGGACTCTCACTCCGTTGGAGGCTTTGAGGGCAGCATGGGAGGTTGATCTTGACCAGTGGACATTGGACGCACGCAGGTGGAAAAGGAGAAGCATGACTTTCCCGGGTTCATCTAGGTTCCTGGAGCTCCCCACCTGTCTTGATGACATGACCAATCATACAAAGTGGCTAACTCCAAGAAGATTCATTTCATGATATGCAGAATCCCATGGCACATCAAAGTGCCCAAGGAATCACTGGCCGCCTTAGAAACCAGCCTTCTCAGGCAGGGCCGCTTGCCAAGGAGACAACATAGATCTTCCAACTGCAGTAGAAAGAACCACAGTTGGCCTTAGGGTTTCAGAAGAGCTCCACTGAACAGTAATTGAAAGAGCAATGATCTGACCTCATGACAGCACTGGGGTCACCTGGGGTCAACAGAGTCTTCAGGGAAATATCAGAGACTCACCTCCTTTTGATGGTGAGCATCACACCCAGGAGAATGATGATGAACATGAGTAGGCCAGCAATCACACCGGCCATCTTCACTGTGCTGTCCACCTGCTTCTCCGGCTCCACAGTGTTAGAATTCTGGGTGGAGGCACCTTTGAGAGGAAGAGGGAGGGGGAAGATGTTGAAAAGGCTCACATGTGAATGGGTAACAATAATACAACAGTGTCCATTATCAACAGCTAACTATGTGCCAGGCACTGTGCTGAGAACTTCCTATACATTGTTCTATTTAATCCCTTTTGAGAATTAATCCCTGAGGTTGGGATTGTACTTATTTCCTCTTAAAGATAAAGTAATTGATGTATACAGCAAATGAGTGTCCCAAGATTGTATGGGAGTATCCTTTACTGGGATTAAGGGGAAGATGTTACTTATCAGATTACTTTGTCATGAGAGTTCAAACCTTGTAACCACCATCCAGCTCTAAGGTTCACAGAATTATATTTAAGGTCAAATGGTGAAAACAATAGCTTTATATTAAGAAAACACAATTAAAATCACTAGATTTTTAAGTTTTATTTCGTTTTATTCCTTATAAGAAGCAAATTATAGAGTAAAAGCTTAGTGTATTAAAGGAAACTGATTTGGTTTCAGAAAACATGACTAATTCCATTTTTGCAATTATGTTACACTATATTCTAACTTGGTGACTCAGTCTCTGCTAGAGCAAAGCCAGGAACTGACCACTTACTATGTCCTTTGACCTGTGTGGGTGATTCACGGTTCCAGCTTGGTCAATCCTCACAAACACTCTCAAAGGCAGATATTGATTTTCTCATTTTATAGATGAGAAAAACCAAGGGACTTGCTAGAAGTAACATGGTTAATAATATTAGGACCAACATCCTACGAGTTTGGTGACTCCAAGTTTCAACCTCCATGATCAGAAAACTTGACTTGAACTTTCACGTTCCCTAGCTCCTCTGAGCCCTCCTCCCTAAAACAACTGTTTTGTTTATGTCGTAGCAAAAGTAAGTAACCAAAGAAAGTCAAGGTCCAACCTCTTCATGGGTTTACTAGGGATGAAAAGCAACTTCCTGTTTCAGAGATTCTGAAGCTGGCCCACTGGCTACCAGCACCCCAGGGCAACTTCCTTCTGCTGTTTTCATATGCCATTCCACTGGTATCACATTTGTGTGAGGCAAGTTCAAGTCTAAAGTACCTTTTTCCCCAACCTATCTCTACTTTCCTGCTACATCAGCACCAGCTCATCCTTCATCAGCCAATATGCCCTCTGTGGTCCCTGGTGCCCCTGGCAGAGTTTCTCTCTCCTCTAAATTCTGATAACACTTTATAACACTTTGCACATATCTCACAATATCTCTTACCATGATGTACTGACATTATTAGTTGTTTGTTTCCACATCTGTCTCCTCCACTGGTCTGCAGGCTCCTCGGGGGCAATATTATGCCTCGTTTATCTTTGTTTTCCATGTTAGCCCAGAGCCTGACTCATAATGGGGGCTCGCTAAATGTTTTCAGTTGTTTGGTGTTTAGCTAAAGGGATGTCTCTGCCCACGCACATTTGTTCTCATGGGACCAAATTGAGTTTTCTCTTGGTTTTAGTCATGTATTCACAGAACTCAGCCGAGTATTGGGTTGAAGGGATGCTTATTATTACCATAAAACTTCCAGTCTGACTCCATACAGTCACTGTTTGTTCATGAACAGCTTTCTAGCACACTGACATTCTTCTTTCTTTTTAAGTGTAGAGTGTGTCTTGTCTCTAAGCACTTTCCCCAAACTTCTGTAACTTAGACAAGTGACTTAGCTGAGTGTCCCCAGTGGGAATGGGAATGGAAAGCCTTTAAGAACACATTGTTCTTCATGACACTAATGCCAATGTCTAGTCAAAGACCCCTCCTCACAATCACTCTGAACAGATGACTGTGGAGCTACATGGAAGTGCATGGGCCGGAAATATTTGCTTTATCTGTTCATTCCATCGTGCGTTTTTTACTCCTATGTATCCAAGTGCTGACAGCCACACTGTACTCTCTGTAGGACCGGAGAGACTCTTCCTGCAAGCACTTAGAGATGAAAGATTTTATTCATTTCCTCTCCTGGCTAAAGGAAAGACCAACTCATCAAATCTCAGGGCTGTTGACAAGGTTCTGTCAATATGCAGCTCAGTGAATTCCTGGGGTGAGTGTGAGTGGTCAACTACCTCTTCAGTGGGGCCAGTTTGACATTGCAGAGTGGGAGTGATTCTGGGTTCTGAGTGGCTTCTGAACTCCCATTTACCAGACTGGAGACATGATTTCTAAGATATATCCAGTCCACAGTGTACCAAGCCCAAAGGAAGAAGGACACCTCAAATCACAGAGCCCCTCAACAGTGCAGTCTTTTTATTTCTTTTTATTCAGATTTAGTGGAAAGGTTGGCTCTGCATCATTGAATCATTGGTGGAATTAAATGTAGTGCTTGTTCCAAGATCCTGTTCTAGAAGCTAGGAGCTAAAAAACAGAGAGCCCCTAAAAACTCTTCTTAAGAGTGCTACTGTACCTTGGCCTAATGAACTTTGCACTCCATTCCTTAGGTAAATATTTGCAAACACCCACAACATGTCAGGCATCATGGCAGAGCAAATAGCCTTGGCTAGGGCTCTATGATGGGGCAAGGAGCCTGGTACATTACAGAAACGTAGTATTTGGGTGGGGCATAAGAAAGCAAAGTCAGTAGGCTAAGAACAGTGCTGGAGGGGGAAGTAGGAACCAGTTCACAGAGCACATTATAGACTATGATGGTAGTTTTTGTTTTGTAACCTAAGAAACATAGATAGCTATTTAAGTACTATTCATGGAGCAACACTGTGGTCAAATTTGTATTTCTAACACATTATGTCAGCTTCAACATGGAGTTAAAGTGGGTCAGAGAAATGAGCTTGAGACCATTGCAGGCATCCGGGTAGAAGATGATAGTCTACCTGGAAGATTCAAGAAATAACAGTAGAGATTCAGAGATATATTGAAAGGGATAATTACCTGAAATAGATACAGAATTTGTTGGTAGATGGAGTCTGCAGAATAAAGGCGAAAAATGACAAGGATGGTCACAGATCTTTGATTCACATGACAAAGCAGATGGTCATGGTATTTATGGGTTCGTAAAATAAGAAGAATAAATTTAGATGGAAACCAGGTATGTATTTAGGGTAATTTGAACTTGAAGGTGGGTAGCTAAAAGTGCAAGCCTAAAGGGTCTGAGCTAAAGGTAAAAACATGAGTCCTATAGCCATAGACGGTATTTAGAGCCTAGGAGTCAATGAAATCTCCCAGGGAGAGACTAACAAGTGAGAGGACATGCAGTCCCATAACAGAGGCTTGAAGGTCTGCAGTGTTTAGGGAGTGGGCAGAGGAAGATACACCTGCACAGGAAACAGGAGGAGCATCCAGACAGGGACGGAAAACCCAGGTGAGCACAATATCCTAGAACCAACCGAAAAAAAGTATTTCCAGAAGCAAAAACTAATTAGCGGCGTCATATGCTGTTGCTAGGGCAGAATCAATTTCCATGCTCAAAGGAAGTGAAGATTTTGGTTCTTTCCCTAAATGAATCCCAAGGTGTTCCAATAGAAGCACCCTCAGCAGTGACCATGACTGATCAATGGCACTGGCTTTAAGAGTCACAGTAGAACATCCAGATTCAGGGAGGTATTGAGGAAAGTGAGTGCCCAGTGGTTTAGAAAACTTCAATGAGTTTAAGCAATAGGCACCAGAGCTGAAAGCATAGACTCTACATGGGAGGTTATGCTTGGCTGGTCTACCCAGGTTTCAGATATAAGAACATGAACATGTTCTGCTCCACAAAAAATTAACTTTCACTTAAACATTCTTTAAGAGAATTTGTTGTCATCTCTGGGAACTGGTTTTCCTGTTTATAAATGAAGGACATGGAGGGTTCAAAGGTAACACAGATATAATGAGAATGTCTCTGGCAAAAAGATCAGACAAAGATTGATGGGTGACTCTTTTATCAGAGAGGAAAAAAATGAGACATGGGTAGCACCAGTCATGATCCTGTTGAGAGTGAGAGATGTGTCAACAACCCTGACATTGTAGGTGCTCAGTGAGCACAATGAGGGCTGGGCCATTATAGGGTTCATTCCACAAGTGACCGTACAAACTTCCAATCAAATCTGTCTGCCTGATTCAGTGTCCTGAGAATCTATGGTTTCTAAAACTAGAAGTCTTTCAGAGTGTGACCTGGGTTACTTTTGTATACAAGTGAAGTTTAATATTACCTCCAGTCCCTAGTGGACTCTGCCTCAGACTTTGATGACTTCTATCTATTAATTCAGGACTGGGAGAAGGGAGAGGGTTTGATGCATCCTCTTTACCTTTGCCTTCTTATGACCCAAGCTAAAAGGATTCCAAGAAAATCAGAATTGTCAACTAGGCACCAGGTGATAATTTATCCAGTTAGATAAGCCTTAAGGCTGTACTTGAGTCCCCTGTGTGATGTGGTCATCAAAAAAATCTTGTGAACTCAGCTTACTAACTCAGCTGTCTCCAGCATGAGGCTGTAAGACTGACTTTGTACCCCAGCCAGCTGTGCCCTCTGAGCATTCCCAGAGGCTGGGCTAGTTTTCACAAAGCAGCTGTGACTTGCCACTGCCCTTTAGCTCTTTCCCCCAAAGCTATGATGGTGTAAAGTCTCATCCTTTCCTAGATCTAGCCCCCAATTCACATCTGAGCTTCTTGCATATGGAAACTCAGCACCTAAGGTATAGTGCTTAGTTTCCTAGAGGCTCTTCCTCTCCTCAATCTTACCTTCCTACATGTGACCTATGAGCCGTGTTTGTTTCCCTCTCCCTCCTTCTTTCTCTAGTGCTACTAAACATATATTTAATTCTAATTTTTTCAGAGATTGCTAAGACCCAACCAGGGCAGTGCTGAGCTGTGCTACTCTGTAATTATCAGAGCACTCTGGTGAATCTTGTTCAGTTATAGGCTCAACCTCCTAAGAAGGATCTCTAGGGTGAGCATAAGCAAAGAGACATGATGCTCAGAAAGTGTTCCAATGAAAATGATATCAGCATCATTTAAAATGCAGAACCATAGGCTCCACCCCAGACCTACTGAAACAGAAG